TTGTGCCGTTTGCATAATGTGCCGTACGCTCTGGAGAATCCCGAGACATCGTATATGTGGAAGTGCTCAAACATGACCACTCACGTGATGCCCCACAGCCGATTGCTGGACTTGCATCAGTGCGCGTTTGGATCGAAGTGGCGGAAAGCGACCCGGGTGATTTTCGGCTGTGCGACTGAAGCTGGGGATTTCGCCCCGGTTTACCACGGGCGCCTGCGGCGTCTTGGGAAACGTGGTTTCTGCAGCTTTCGACCTGGGAGAAAACGCATGGAATTCGAGGGGAAGGCTATGACGTCCGTTTCAGCTTCGTACCCACCTCGCCTTGCTGTGTGTCTGTGTAAAGCTCTGCTGAACCTGTCTTGAGCAGAAAGGTTGCACACTTGGTGATTTCGAGGGTCGACGCCTTCTCCGCCTGAGAATGGTCCTGCCGCTTCGCTGTGAACTTCGACTTTGCGAAACATATGGGGTTTGGCCTGTCCGTCGCACGTCCCATAACCCCTGGGCGCGACCACTGTGGCATCAGACTTCGCCACTGAAAAGGTGATTAAGCATGTGTGTATGCGTGGCACGTAATTGCTTGAACCCCTCTTTAAATGTTGCAGCCCCTTCAGCAGCAGTCCCTCCGCCGCTGCCGGGGCTCAAGCTGTCCCACCCTCTGCCACCCTGGACCTGTCATTACATAGCGCGCGTCTGATTTAACTGTTCTAACACTTCCACTCCGCTCATGTGGGGTTTGGCCTGTCCGTTGCTCGTCCCATCACCCCTGGTCGCGACCATTGTGGTATCAGACTTCGCCACTGATAAAGTGATCAAGCAAAGAACACGTATTTCCCTTAGGTTTTCGTGAGTTGTTTGGATTCTCGCTTCTTCGGGCTTCCGACGGACCAGGACGGCCCAAGAGGCCCCCAAGATCGTCTTAATATCGCACCAGGAAGGCCCAATAGGTCCCCAAAAGGGGCCCCCCAAAGACGCCCGCCCGTCAGGGCCCCATGAAGGCCCAACAGGATCCCCAAGAAGGCCTGGAGACGCCAAGCTCGTAACACCAGCGCTCCCCAGAGCGAGCGGTGACGTAATCAACTCTGAGCACCAAGGCTCCCAAGAGCCCACAGTGGCGTGACAAAGTCTTAAAACCAAGGCTTCCCAGAGCGAGCGGTGACACTACAAGCTCTGAAGACCAAGGCTCCCAACAACGAGCGGTGCCGTAAAAAGGTTTGAACACCAAGGTCCCCAAGAGCCCACAGTGGCGTGACAAGCTCTTAAAACCAAGGCTCCCAAGAACCAGCTGTGACCTTACAAACTCTGAACACCAAGCCTCCCAGGAGCTCACATTGACGTGACAAGCTCTTAACATCAGGGCTCCCCAGCGCGAGCGGTGACGTGACAAGCTCTTAACACCAAGGCCCCCAGGAGCAAAGGGTGCCATGAGCCATCTCGGGCAAGTCCCTGCATCGCTCTTTCCGTTCCCGTGCCAGCCCAGATGACGGAATGAGCGAGGTACGAGTGATGTACGTTGTTTGGTGGGGCGAAGCCCTCTAGGGAGGGGTCCAGGGGAGGGGCGAGGCGCGCATGAGTGGTAATGGCCAGCTTTCCTTGTTTTTCTGAGTGAATCGGCTCCCGGGCGGCTCCCATGGCCCGTTTCCTCGTATGTTTTGGAGTGACGCGGCCCAAGGGCTCCAAGATGGCCCAAGAGGGTTCCAAAACGGCCCAACAGGGCACCCAGACGGCCCCAAGAGAGCCTCAGATGGCCTCCAGACGGTCCAAGAGAGCCTCAAGACGGCTCCAGAGGCCTTGCAGAGGGACTCCGGGACCCCCAGGGACAAAAAACATTAATTTTCCGGTTGGTTTAGCAGGTCTTTGGGGTTCTTGCTTCGTCGGGCCAAGACGGTCCAAACCGGCCCAAGAGGCCTCAAATATAATCCCAAGACGGCCCAAGAGGCCCCCGAAAGGGTCCGAAAACGGCCCAAGAGGGCCCCAAGACGGCCCCAGAGGGGCCCAAAATTGCCCAAAATGACCCCAAGACGACCCAAGACGGCCCCAAGACGGCCCCAAGAGAGCCCAAGAGGGCCCAAAGAGGGCCCAAAGAGGCCCCCTAGAGAGCCCCCCCTAGAGAGCCCCCCCTAGAGAGTCCCAAGACGGCCAATGGCCTCCAAGACGCCCCAAGACTGCTCAAAAGGGCCTCCGTTGCCATTATGGCT